TCTGATACATTCTGTTTTACACAGTTGGTGCCAACAATAGATTACAAGTATGAATTCACTTCCTCTGATACATTCTGTTTTACACAGTTGGTGCCAACAATAGATTACAAGTATGAATTCACTTCCTCTGATACATTCTGTTTTACACAGTTGGTTCACTAGTAATATGGTTTCATAGGTTACAGAGTTAATATTACAACCAGTTTATTTTTCTGGATTACGATAAGTGGGGTGGGGGGGGTTCTGCCAACATCTACGAAAAGCAAATGACCTTGTAATAACTACTTTAACAGGATATTTAGTATGACATAACTAGGAGAAGAAAAACAGTGTTGTTCAATATATATTTTTATCATGTTGGAAACTAAGGTACAAAAAACCAATGATAAACATTACGTAATGTAACAATCCGTTTTTACAGCGACAACCTTTGATGTAGCATTTCAGTTTGGTTCTGTAGTTTTGAAAATTCACGATCTCAAAAATGAGAAACTTGTTTTAACGTGTACTTTTCATAATCATTTTATATTCTGACGAACCTGATTGTATTTTGTGTGAAAACAGCATGGTTGATGTGTTTAGAAGTTTGACTAGAAAAGTGTACTGGCATTATAAAATAATTGTTGTTATAAAGTTTGGAGGAAAGAAACATTAAACCTCAGTATTTCAAACAAATTAGAGAACTACGTTAACAAATGAGTGAACGATCATTCTCAGATATTCATTTAGCATTTGAAGCTGTGTACAAACAATCATTATAAATGTATGCTGTGAAACAATGAATAAACATCAGGTACGAGAAACAAGTATTATCTATGTATGATATAAACGAGAGAGAGATACATACACAAAAACTATGACATAATTTAAGGACACCAACTGGATTGTTTATCCATCTAGGCCATCCCATCCACTAAACTCAAATTTAAAATAAAACTCTCATACCCAGCCCTTAGCATTTAAATATTTACCAAGCTTTCCCTTAAATTAACCATATCTGAAGGCAACTAACTCTTAGGCCAACAAATCTGTTATAAAGATAAAGCTGAAGATGACTGCCAGAATCTCTATTTTCATTCGCTAGTCCTACCATTCTCACCATTAAATAAGTAACAGGTGATGCATTAACACTATTAATTCCCTTATCAATGTTTAACACATATCAATCAGATTCCTTAGTCCTACCATTCTCACCATTAAATATGTAACAGGTGATGCGTTAACACTGTTAATTCCCTTATCAATGTTTAACACATATCAATAATGTAACCAGCACACGCGGAAGATGAATATTATAGTAATTTTGGTGTTAAATAATGTAACCAGCACACGCGGAAGATGAATATTACAGTAATTTTGGTGCTAAATAATGTAACCAGACACACGTGGAAGATGAATATTATAGTAATTATGGTGCTAAATAATGTAACCAGACACACGGGGAAGATGAATATTATAGTAATTTTGGTGCTAAATAATGTAACCAGACACACGTGGAAGATGAATATTACAGTAATTTTGGTGCTAAATAATGTAACCAGACACACGTGGAAGATGAATATTATAGAAATTATGGTGTTAAATAATGTAACCAGCACACGTGGAAGATGAATATTATAGTAATTATGGTGCTAAATAATGTAACCAGCACACGCGGAAGATGAATATTATAGTAATTATGGTGTTAAATAATGTAACCAGACACACGTAGAAGATGAATATTATAGTAATTTTGGTGTTAAACAATGTAACCAGCACCCGTGGAAGATGATTATTATAGTAATTTTGGTGTTAAATAATGTAACCAGCACACGCGGAAGATGAATATTACAGTAATTTTGGTGTTAAATAATGTAACTAGACACACGTACTATAATATTCATCTTCCAATTATGGTGTTAAATAATGTAACCAGCACACGCGAAAGATGAATATTACAGTAATTTTGGTGTTAAATAATGTAACCAGCACACGCGAAAGATGAATATTATAGTAATTTTGGTGTTAAATAATGTAACCAGCACACGCGGAAGATGAATATTATAGTCCCAACACACCTGGTTGACTGTTTTATTTTAAAAAAGCTGTATCACACCATCAAATGAAATCAATAAAGTAGCTTTATATACATCAACTGTATATGCCGTTGAAACCCGATGACCTAAAGATGTGCTTGGAGAGACAGTCAATACCAATATCAAAAACAAAACAATACGGTACAAACCGCAGATATAAACCTGATCTATAATATACCACTATGGTAGCTATTTTTTACAGAGACATAATTACAACATACATAGATATATATATATATCATTGGTGCAGTACGAAAACACAGATACAATGCAAACAGATGTTATTACTTATCAAGTACGCCCCCCCCCCCAGTGGCACAGCGGCATGTCTGCGGACTTACAACGCTAGAATCCGGGTTTCGATACCCGTGGTGGGCAGAGCACAGATAGCCCATTGTGTAGCTTTGTGCTTAATTACAAACAAAACTTATCAAGTAACATAAAACAGTCGATTAAGATAAAAAACTTAAAGAATTTCCTTTAGCTGCCTGGTTCAAAGCACAGGTGAAAAGTATATAAAAACTTAGATTACCTGCAAGTAAGTGACACATTAATGCTTAGATTACCTGCAAGTAAGTGACACATTAGTGCTTAGATTACCTGCAAGTAAGTGACACATTAATGCTTAGATTACCTGCAAGTAAGTGACACATTAATGCTTAGATTACCTGCAAGTAAGTGACACATTAATGCTTAGATTACCTGCAAGTAAGTGACACATTAATGCTTAGATTACCTGCAAGTAAGTGACACATTAGTGCTTAGATTACCTGCAAGTAAGTGACACATTAATGCTTAGATTACCTGCAAGTAAGTGACACATTAATGCTTAGATTACCTGCAAGTAAGTGACACATTAATGCTTGCTTCAAGTTGTTCTCTTCTTTTCGGCCTTTTAATACATCAGTAATCTCTTTTATAAACTCTTCCTCTTCTTCAGACTGGACATACTTCTTGAATGTATTTGCTGACAAGAGACCATAGATTTTAACCTCCGTGTCACCAGCCATATATTTTACAGAATAAAACCATTTCTTCTGGTTTGCAATTATCTGGAGGATAACCTTTAATTTTGACGGAGATGCCACAGGGATGCCGTACTTATTGACTTCATTTTCTGGATCACACCACTGAGCAGCTGCAAAGGAAAGAACAACAGTTACAAAATACAAACTGTTCGTTACGCAGACAGTTCCTTATAAACTGTTCGTTATGCAGACAGTTCCTTACAAACTGTTCGTTATGCAGACAGTTCCTTACAAACTGTTCGTTATGCAGACAGTTCCTTACAAACAAGTTCTTTCTCTCTTCCCACACTCTTAACATCAGCTCAATGGTGCTGGATTTCTTTATGTCGAAAATAAAAGAAGAATGCGCGAATGTAAATGTAAAAATTGAACAATTCCAAATTATCGGAAAGGCTGAAAATAGAAGTGGTTAAGACTAAAAGAAACATTAGCCATAAAGAACTTAATAATTGAACTAAACAAGAAATCCAGCACTGGTGAGCTGATGTTAAAAGTGTGAGAACAGAGAAAAATTTTACATGTTTGAAATTATCTTGTGTTATTTATTTAAATATACAAGTTTTATTTATCTTTTGGCCACCTATACTTGTTTCCTTTTCATCCGCAACAGGTGTATATTCAACAAGAATTCAGCTACAAAAGTTGAGCCATACACTATCGTTATTTGGTGAACACGATACATTTTGGATTTCTTAGCTAGAGAAAGATGTATGACCAAAACTGGCACTATAATGTATCATAACATAATGTTTGTGGACAACATGGGACCTATTATTCCATCCTCTAAAGTAGATTAAAATAATTAAAAAATAATAATTTAAAGCAAGCCCTTATCATTCATATACTTATCAAGCTTTTACTTAAACTCACTTAAATTAACTGCCTGTACAACATCCGAAGGCAACCCATTCCAAAGACCAACCACCCTTTTAGAAAAATGAAACCGTCTTAGCTGAAGATGACTCCTACCTTGCCAGAATTTACATTTGTGCCCCCTAGTCCTACTATTCTCACTGTTAAATATGAAAACAGATGATGCATCAACACTATCAATTCCCTTTACAATCTGAAACACCTCAATCAGATCCCCTCTAACTCTTCTTTTTTCATGAGAAAACAATTTGAGAAATTTTAGCCTCTCCTCGTTCGACAACCCCTCCAACCCAGGTACCATTCTAGTAACCCTTTCCAACAATTCAATGTCTTTCCTAAGGTAAGAAGCCCAAGACTGAACACAATACTCCAAATGTGAACTAGCCAGTGACATGTACAATGGAATTATAACTTCTTTAGAGTTGTATTCAATTTTAGGTCAAGAGCTGATATGTGGGGAATTCTACATATTTACATCATCATGGCCCTCAGATGGATGCCGGATCTTTCAATAGATTTCATTGGACAGAAAACAAGCCTCAGAATTATTTTTTCTTACTGGGTTTTATCAATCTACAATTGTATCTTCTTCAATCACATGGTACTTAACTTCAGTACAGTAATGTATTTTTAGACCAATAACAGAAATCAGTTGCAAGTCTTAAGGCTTAAACACCAAAAACCTGTTTTCAATACTCATGATGAGTACAGCACAGATAGCCCATTACGTAGATTTGTGCTTAAAAACCAAACAAACATGAAAAATAACACGAAAAACTTACAACTAGCATATTTACCAATTTTATTCCAAATGCTAATATTACATGGTTCCTTGACATGATAAAATATCAAAAATGTTAATCATGCATCAATTACGAAAAAAGGTTTTGACTCATTATAGATCAAATTATAGCAGACTTGCAATTAGACACACAATAAAGTCTCAAAATGTTTCTTACCGAAAAGAAAAGCTTTTTTATGTGCGGCTACATGACAACTGTTTTACTGAATTCCTCTTGCCACTTATCAATAGTTTCTCGCAGGTCTCTTCTGTCAATTCCACTGTGATAAGGAACGATAGATTCGACAAAGAATGTTACTTTTCACAGTTATGTTAAACATAATATTTTCAAACAGATTGTAGCTTGAAATGTATGAATACAAAAAATTTAAGAGATGTTACTATTGCAAATTTTCATGTTTGATATCTTAGTAATTCTAAATTTAGTGTTAGCTCATGTAGTGGTGAGGACTTCTAGGAAAGGTTCTGCCTGTAATTTACTTCCCAGGGAAGTTTCTGCCTGTAGTTTATGTAGTGATGGGGACTTCTAAAGAAGTTTCTGCCTGTAGTTTATGTAGTGGTGAGGACTTCTAAGGAAGGTTCTGCCTGTAGTTTATGTAGTGGTGAGGACTTCTAGGGAAGTTTCTGCCTGTAGTTTATGTAGTGATGGGGACTTCTAAAGAAGTTTCTGCCTGTAGTTTATGTAGTGGTGAGGACTTCTAAAGAAGTTTCTGCCTGTAGTTTATGTAGTGGTGAGGACTTCTAAGGAAGGTTCTGCCTGTAGTTTATGTAGTGATGGGGACTTCTAAAGAAGTTTCTGCCTGTAGTTTATGTAGTGATGCGGACTTCTAGGGAAGTTTCTGCCTGTAGTTTACTTCCCAGGGAAGTTTCTGCCTGTAGTTTATGTAGTGGTGAGGACTTCTAGGGAAGTTTCTGCCTGTAGTTTACTTCCCAGGGAAGTTTCTGCCTGTAGTTTATGTAGTGGTGAGGACTTCTAGGGAAGTTTCTGCCTGTAGTTTATGTAGTGATGAGGACTTCTAAAGAAGTTTCTGCCTGTAGTTTATGTAGTGGTGAGGACTTCTAAGGAAGGTTCTGCCTGTAATTTACCATTTCTATGGGGATGGGGAGAAAACACCCATGTGTTGAAACTTTGTAAATTACAGCAAAGCTAATACTAAACTAGTAGCGGTAAGTCTGAATGCTTATAATGCTAAAAACTGGGTTTTGATACCCATGGTGGGCATAGCACAAATAACCCATTGAGTAGCTTTGTGCTTAACCACAAACAAACAAAAATAAACTAAACTTCTAACTGGAAGATGGTCCCTTAGGAAAGACAACGCAAATGTTATTGTCTTCTATAGGTCAAAAATAAGGGTTGGATCACTTGAGAGCCCCAGCAGGATCAGGGGGATATTCCCCTGGAAGGTTGCAAGTTTTTAACATTTGGGGAGGTAAAAACTGCTTAATATTTACATTTCACTAAGGAGAAGTCAATATTTTTTCAACTGGTTTCATTAGTTTTTTATATTGCTGTCAGCAATCAGTGCTAGGAACAATAACAACATAGGCATTTTTTTCTTCTTCTTATATTCTGAAACTTAGCACGAAGCACTTCTTCCCTACGGATACAGTCAGCTGTAAGGATATAAGAAAATTAATACCATAATTATTGATTAATTAATTAGGATACTTCCAACTATTCTTCCACTTCTTTTTCATCAAATCATCATCACTATAATCACTCTACATTTGTCTTATAAAATACCTATTCACTGTCTGACCTTTCGACCATCCTACTCCAATGTCATCTGCTAGCAAGTTAAGATGCTAACATGATAATGTGCAAATTAAGGATTTGGACACGAGAAAAATGAAACAAGATAAAGGGTAATAATAAGAATACAAATTTCAGAATATAGACGGATGAAAGAAACCATCATTTTGTGAAAAAACATGGAAGTCCATAGGATTACACACTGGTTCCAAAAATCGGAAGATAGCCCTTGTGGTGGAAAGGATACATTTGCACTCTTCCACAGAACACAATGAAAAACACGAAACTGACCTGTTACTCAGCCTGAGTATGCCATGTGGCTCAATGAAAAACACGAAACTGACATGGCACCAGTAAATGAAACAATCTTGTTAATCATAATTAAGTAACCATCTCTACTCAGAAAAACCCAGAAACCCATTAAAACCCAGATAATCCTCCTTCCAGAAAGCAACTGTTATAAGTTTTTTCTTCTAGTGCATTCTAAGTTATAGCAACAAAACTGAAACGTTAGCCAGCAATTTGCTTGTTTGCAAGCTTTAAGTTTGAGCCCTGATGCATGTTCCCATCTTCCTAGAAGTCGAGTCAGAGATAAAAAAGAAACAATGACTATTGTATGAGTCCTGTTGAGACACTAAGGTGTCTGTGTTGAGTCCTGTTGAGACACTAAGGTGTATGTGTTGAGTCCTGTTGAGACACTAAGATCTCTGTGTTATTAGAATTAATCTCATAACCCATTCATTATTTAAATTACATTCGACCGTACCAATGAACCGTACTCTCGAACAGAAATAAGATTATGGAATTAAAACACAAAACTCCAGGGTTAGATTCCCTGTGACGGTGCATTGTGTAGCTTTGCATAAAAACAACAACAACAACAACAAAAAAAAAACAAACAAATGTACCAATACCATACACTCTTTATGTTTTAAATGCTAACTTGTAACTGCAGACTATGTGAGGCAAATATTTCCTGATCATGATAACTTTTCAGGGAATGGAAACATAATTAATATATACAAGTGTTTACCTGAATCCCACTTTTTTACTCAATGAATCCAGCTTTCTCTGTTCATATGACGTCACAAACATCTCAAAACTTGACGGTAAATGTTGCAGAAGTTCTTTTACCTCTTTGAATCCTTGTACTGCCTTGGAACTGAAAATAACTTTATACTTCCATATGTCACTACTTCCACCTTCTGCCATGATTTACTTCTTGTCCTCACTGAAAGAGCTGTGATAATTTTACCTAATTAGTTCCACATTACTGTTAATCACATTTTACAGAATAATAAGAAGCATTTCAGTCTATTATACCACAAAGAAATATCTTCAGACACTGCAACCTGGTGGTAGATAATGAAATGTCGCATTGTTTTTATTTATAACAGAATATTTGATGTAACCTATCATCAAATGGGATTAATTTCATAATTATCTATAGTAAAAGTAAGTGACCAAATTATATTTAAATACACCATTAACTGACGCAGAAGTAGTGGACCTAATACGATGAAACACATCACTGACATCTGAAAATACACAAAAGTTATAATGTGACGGTCAATCCCACTATTCGTTGGTAAAAGAGTAGCCCAAGAGTTGGCGGTGGGTGGTGATGACTAGCTGCCTTCCCTCTAGTCTTACACTACTAAATTAGGGACGGCTAGCGCAGATAGCCCTCGTGTAGCTTTGCGCGAAATTCAAAACAAACCCTCTTTTCACAAGATTAGCTTTTCTCGTTTTGTGCTGCCCTCTATATGCAAACTTTTTCAGAAACGCATGCCGCAAGCCTTCATCCCCCCTCTGTTTGAATCCAAAGTTCCACCACATTTCTCTTGCAAACCATCATGCGTCACCTCTCCACCAATAAGAGAGCACTACTATCATGTGACTCCCTCTACACGCCACTACCGAACTATCACTTCGAAGTTTGGAAGAAGAGACAGAGCTCCCTTTTCACAAAGTGACCTGAAAGTTATTATGAAACCCGACTTTAGACTAAAAAAGTTTTTCAGTTACAAAGATCGTTTGTTCATTGTTCACAATTCGTCTACTTATACAGGTGCAGAGATTGTAAGGCCTCCTATATTGGTGAAACCAAACGTCACTTTAAAGTACGAGCATGTGAGTACATGGGCATATCTATAAAAAATTGGAAGAAAGGTTACAAACCCTCCCAACTCCGCCATCTATCAACACAATAGAGAAACAGAACATCCGATTTCTCTCTCAAACTTTAAAATTCTTTCAACAGCCAAACATGATACTGAACTTCTTATAAAAGGACTATTTTATGTATCTGCTCGTTTGCTAATTTCCGGTAGAAATTATTTCCGAGGAACTTCAGCGATACAAGTCCTTTCTTGATTAAACCAGTTTATTATTTCTCGATACAAACTTTTAGCACACAGTAATTCCACTATCAGTGCGTTTCTCGTCACTTTCAACTTAACAACTTTTACAATACACGCTATAGATCATAGCGATTCACACTCTCGATAACTTACTGTGAATACTGTTCGTTTTAACCATACATTCCATTGCCGCTGGCTTTTCTCGCCAGGCTTATATACTAACAAAGGGGGCGCCTCGAATGCACTCGGACCTCCCGGATCATTCGAGGAATTCATCACGTTTCACCAGCGTCATGCGACTTCCGCTGTCGTAACAATATTATACATAAAAACCCTTCTCCCGTCCCTAAATAACACACAGTCTTTACTGGATTTAAAGCTATTTTATCTATTTAACTTGTGCCTCAGTTTTCATTTTCTCCTGTTATATTTGTGTATTAGATTTGTTTATTTCTTGTGTATATATATATCTGTTATAATTACAAATACTGTTTATTTGTTTTGTAACCCTAGATTACTGATGATGAAATTATGACGATTCCGAAATGTCTAATAAATGCTTCCTGTTATTACGTTCGTGTTTTGTTTTATCGTTAAACTTAAAGGAAATGGCGCAAGGGTACCACCAGGAGTGGTGCCTGAGGCGTAATTTGACTCAACAAGGGGAAACTCACCCGGCCTGGACACTGGATTGGTCCCGACTACCAGTGAAAGTGGGTTTTCTTGGGGTACTCCAGTTTCTTCCCACACCAAAATTTATAGGCATTGGATCTACAGATCCCAGCCATGGCATTTGGATCCATTGATCCAAACCAGACCCTGAAGAGGCCCGTTTGTTTCAGTACTTTGTCAGCAATCAGTTCTCGACGTATCTTCTTTTTTATGTATGCATATATGTGTGTGTATATATATATATACATACATCAAACTACAGCCCAGTTAGAATCAGCACACTTGGCTTGGATAGACCTCGTTAACCTTCAGAAATTTATCATCTTTAGTCTCGCGCGAGGTGAAGGAAGATTGCTTAAACTTCGAACACCCTTGATGACTAATCATTCCTTTCGAATTAATTAATTTTGCATCAAAATAACTGCCAGGCATAACACATCACCGTTCCCAGTTGGCCCCTGAAGATGAAAGGTCCATCTTTCGAATGCGCTCGGGTTATAAGGCTTTTATCATCTAGTACCTAGGGTGATCAGGTTTCCAAACCGAAAAATCGGGACAGCCCTTGTCCCTAATTTCCAAATGATCTTTGAGCTCTTCTTTTGACAGTGTGATCCATAATGTTCAAACAGTCAATACGTTTCTCGTCACTTTAAACTTATTTACTTTTATAACACACGCTATAAATCACAGTGTGATCCATAATGTGCAATCTTCCACTGTCTATCTAAAACAATCGACTTCGTTGTCAGACTCATCTTTAAAAAGGGTCTGATTAAATGTACCTAACAAAAAAACACATTCTTTCTGGCATTTTGACACTATGGTAGGTTAAACATTTTCAATAATAAAAATATCTTTGTTTTTGAATTTCGCGCAAAGCTACACGAGGGAGAACATGTCACCTTCCGTTACACATTGACCAATTGCTGGAGGTCTACTACAGTACTAACAAATCTGCGCAGACTTGGGTTTCTCATCGCGCATTCACGGAACTTTCGAGAAAGTACGTTACAACAGCGAGTAAGTCTAGTAGGCCTAATACGTTCGTGATTCGATGCGACTTACCGTTTGATGTATTTATCATAAAACTGGGACGTTTCGTGCGTCCCGAGAACTTTTCTCTGGACACAGGGACAATCATTCAAAAAACGAAACAGTCCCGCCAAAACCGAGACGTCTGTTCACTCTTAAGTAAATTATACAAATAAAACCAATGGATCTTATCAGAAGAAGTGATTTTTGTATAATGTCATTTGTTTTTACTGCTAGTTCATTAAATAAAGAGGTATTGGAACGTTTTTCCGCCAGAAAAAAAAAAAAAAGGGCACTGATAATGTGTATATGGTTAGATGGAGAGATTATTTCCCCGAAAGGGGGTCGACGGCCCCCTGGAGGGGTATCCTGTTTTAACCATTCGCACTATTACACAGTAGTATGTTGTCTGTCGGTCAGTCAATCAGTAGACACTTAAGTAAATTACCTCACATAAGGGATGCTTAATTTTGCAATTTGTACTGTCGTCACGTCAGTAGAACGTGCGCATGACATGAATCACGAGAAGAATTATGAACTTTATAGGCTACAACCCGGCATGACGTATAAACTTCATAAAGCAAGAAATAAAAATATTTTGTTTGCTTTTTAATTTCGCCCAAAGATACACGAGGGCTATCTGCGCTGGCCGTCCCTAATTTAGCAGTGTAAGACTAGAGGGAAGGCAGCTAGTCATCACCACCCACCGCCAACTCTTGGGCTAATCTTTTACCAACGAATAGTGGGATTGACGTCACATTGTAACGCCCCCGCGGCCGAAAGGGCGAGCATGTTTGTGGGACGGGGATTCGAACCCGCGACCCTCAGATTGCTAATCGAGCACTCTAACCATCTGGCCATGCCGGCCCTAAAAAATATTTGTTACTGTTAATTTTAGTGTTATTTACTCTTGCG